GTTTTTGGTAGATTTTTACGTGACTAACATAAGGCTACTGTGGAAGTGCCCATTTCGGTTACAACGACATTCGTTTATAACGACACTATTTTTAGGTCCCTTTGATGACGTTATAACAAAGTTCTACTGTATCTTTCACAGTGATGTATTTTGGTTAGGAATCATGTGTGGAAGTTGAATGAATATTCAGAAGAAGATGGTGCAAGATGTGCTTAATGTTTGTGAACTTGTGAACCAAATGTTGTTGCATAAGAATTTCAAACAAAGTATGTGAAATCCGCATGTTTGTTTGTGTGTTACTCCTGTGGTTGTGAAGACACCTAAATAATAAGGAAAATTTATTAATATCTATTCCAAAATTATGCCATGTGGTGTTTCAAAATGTAGGGAACTGAAATGTACAGGGGCTTTGACTCACATGTTACCCTTGAGAGGTGTAGAGCCTTTCCAGTTTCACATATTATTTTCATTTTTCATGCTGTGTCTCCTGGCATCAGTGTTACAAATTGTTGGCCTCTATAGAAATATTTTTAAGCAATGCATTTAAGTTGTATTTGTTTCTTCTGGTCAATAAGTAATTTTCTAATCCTTTCCAAAACTTTTGATGTTCAATATTGGACATGTCTACTAAAATTAACTAGAATCATTCTGCTTTAACAAAGAAGCATCTTAACTTATTTCAGTTGTTTTCAACCTTTAGTGAAATAAGGAAGCAAAACAAGAAATCTGGTACATCTGCAATAACTAAGCATGCCTCCTCTAAGGAACACAACCATAGAAGAATGGAAGTAGCTTTTAGGAAAGTTTTACAGGAGGACTGGGCTTTCCACAGAGCCTCCAAATACTACAAAGTGCCATAATCAGCACTCAGAGAAAATATTATTAAGGCAAGTGAACATTTTGATGCTTGGTGTAGTAATGTGAAGAAGTTTGAAACTGGGAAAGTTGGTAGACCACTTGCTGTGTTTTCTTACTTAGAGCTGGCCCCTCCTCATATAGCTCTGGCATGCTTGTCTGTTGCAGCCATTACCTAGTAACAGCTATTGTATGGTTGCCTAGCAACGGTCTGTCTTGTACAAAATATAATGACAAATAATGTCATGCTGTATTCATTGTGATATCTGTAGTGTGCTTAGTTTGCAAGAGTATCTGCAGTAAGTGAATATCAAGGGCAGCAAGGTGAGCAGAATTACAAATAGGTCACTTGTCAACTTTATGCGCTCACTGAATTAAAGTCTTCCTCGTTAGTTGATTTTCAGAGGAGTGAACCATGTGACTGCTTCTTGATATGTATTTGTTCTTCAGCCTACAATGTTTGCAGCATTTGACCAGAGAGATGGATTTGTAAGATATATGGAATACATATGTTCATGGAGTTACAGTTATAATGATAGTGTGATGTGTTGTGCTATGGAGGAAAACCCCTCCCTCCCCAGCGGTGACGGGTCGGCATTGGAGCACTGTTGTTACTAGGGTAACAGGCAAGTCAACACTCCTTCACCTACCCCGCCAGCGGTGATGTGGCGGCATCGGAGTGCTGTCGTTACTACAGTAACAGGCAAGTCAACACTCCTTCCTCTACCCCGCCAGCAGTGACGTGACCAAGGGATGCCGCGGTTGCTATGCAGCCATAAACAACTCCCGACAGCGTTGCCAGTAACACCTGTAAACACGGCGACTAGGCAACAAGGAAGCGAGGCGTTTCCCATTGTCCGGCTGAGGGTTTATAAGACAATTACACTGCCTACGAAGACAGTTGAGTTGGAATCTAGCAGCAGTCGCGGAAAGAAGAATACCGGAACGTGTGATTAGAAGTGATAGCCTGAGAAGCAGATGCTTGGCTCACAACAGAAGTTACTGGGTGTGTGGAATTTAGTTACACTTGTATAGCTCCCATATCGTACTGTGAATACGTGTAGACTACTGAGGACAGTGTGAAGAGATTTGTGTGTAGGGTTTGTAAAGTGTGTAAACCCATAACATTGTTATAATTAATTGTACCCAAGACTTGTAGGTTGTTAAATAACCAATTAACAATCTGAACGGCATCTTCAGTGGCAAAAATACATTACACTGGTGTCAGAAGTGGCAAAAACACGTTACAATATGTATATATTTGATTGTTGTTGTATGTCTGCAGGGGGAGCATCCTGCTGGCAGAAGAAAGAGGCCTTCAAACCTGGGAGTGACAGCAGTAAGAAAGAACACACTACAGAAGGTATAGAATCACCTAGGAAGAAAGTATGCCAAGGTGTTACTATGGATGGGCAGAAGTCAAATTTTACACTGGCAGGACTGAGTTCTTATAGCAATGAAGAATGCAGGGGGAAGAAAGTAATAGCAATTGTACACAACCAAGCTGATGCATTGGTGGAAGTGGAAGGAAAGATTGGTGGTCATGACAGGAGGTTTGGTGGTTCTGAAGAGGAAGATAATTGTGCTTTTAGTTTGGTGGACAAGGTGACAGATAGGGATGAATCAGATGATGAACTAACCTATCATGATCCAGAAGGGACAGGAGTGCTCCGTGTAGAGCCAGAATATTACAATCAGTCTTCAGCAAGGATAAGGTATCCAAATAAAGCAATAGAACATGAGACTTCCTCTTTAGAAATTAATTTAAAAGTGAATCAACTTAACATAAATCCAAGTGAAAGAACCCCTGCCAAACACTGCAGAAATACTCATCATACTCAGCGAAATAACATAAAGCAGGTTCACAATAACAATAATAACAATGAAGTTAAAACTGCCATTGAGCCAAATATACATGGAGAAACTCCTGCTTCAGCTGTTTCTGAAAAGAAGGAAGATAATATTGCAGAAAAATTCAAAGACAGCTTGGGTGATGATATTCCTTTTGTAGGTGAAGGTGCATCTCTGATGCTATCCAAGGAGCAAGCCCGAATTGAAATGCTGATCAGACAGGAGCAAGCAGACTTGGAGCTGGCACTGAGGTTACAGCATGAATGGGATGCTGCTGACAGAAGAGTTGACAGAAGTAAAGGATCGCTCCGAGCATATGAACTGAGGAACAGTAGTAAACCCCGAACAACAAAGAGGAAGGCTGCAGCTAAGAGGGAAGGGAGAGGTCGACAAAGCACATTAGAGGAATCCTTTACTGGGACCCTGCGTTCTACAAGAAAACGACAAGGACATTGCCACAATTCCTAAAGCTCTGGTTTCTCAATGTCTGTTACTATTATAACAGGTCTTATCCTTTGTACCATCTTTTAACATTCCCCAAAGTGCCCCCACCAACTGTCCATGCTAGAACTGTAATATGCAGCAGAGTGTATTGACCTTAAAAGAATAGTGTATAATGAAAAACAATAGACTTTTATAGTGTAAAAATTAGTGTTTTATAAAGCTACATGGATCTTTTAGGGTAATCAAAATATGGCCATGAGGAGTTTTGTCAATTTGGATAAGAAAACTGATATTGTTTGTAATCTTCCAGAGACTGTGATATATGGATTTACTAGTTTGTAAGTGTTAAAGATTACATCTTATGAATAGACACCTTTGTGCTTTTTGCTTCAAATTCCTGTCTTTCAAACATTATGCAAAGTAACATGAATCATAGTGATGATTTATTGATGCTAAAATTGATTGAAAATGGAGTGCTTTGTAGATTTGTAGAATTTTATAATTTAGTTTATTTTGAGATTTACAACCTGGTTTTATCTTAACATGGACAACTCGGTTGCCTTAATCTGGAAGTGAATGCAAGGGACCTTTACAAATTAGTGTGTACTGTGTGATTATTATGTATGAATACAGTAATGTATAAAAGTTTGTAGTCGTGAGCCACAAATGCAGATTTGTGAACATTTGATGGCCCACAGCATAAAGGTATACTGTGTCTCATCCATCATATACACACTTTATAATATGGCTCTCATTTAGCAAAGGGAAGTATTTCTGAAGTACATACATCTCATACTAAGTTTAAAAATTTTTGTTTGAAAACAGGCACTAGTGGTTCATTCCCTTCTTTATGGCCTTAATTGTTTTCTATTTGTGGAGAGGGATACTGATTAATGGGTGGGTCCTCTTTGCATAAGAAAATCACATGCTGCCATTGATCAAATTGCAAGTTTCGTCCAAGTTTGCAAAATGTTCTCAATAAATCCAATTTTCTTGAGATTGCTTTAGCTGCTGAAAGTTGTGTCTATGAACATCCAAACAAATTTTACACCGATGCAACTAATTCTTTGAGACATGATAAACTTTTTTTTTTCTTTTTCCCCCTTGGCACTTCAGCCCCAGTGGGCCTAGGCCTACCTCCATGAACTTCTCCGTTCACTTCGGTTTTTCTTGATCTTACACATTCGGTAGGACTTCTTGGATGGGTGATCAGTTTGTCGCGAGGCATGATAAAATTTACCTTTTATAATTTCTACAGTAATGTTCAAGATTTTGCTCTGTAAAGCCTGCAACAATTAGGTCACAGTTTTAAAAATGTCGGTTCTATTCTTAGTACTGGCCATTTTTGACTGCATCTTCTAGGAGGTATGTAGGTCAGTGCTTTCTTTGGCATTTTAACATGTGCATGTCATTTTTCATGGTATTCTTTAAATGTAGGCTCCTTATTGGCTTCATCCAGGAGTGTTCAGTTTAGCGTCCCACAGAGAACTTGGAATTTCAGTAATTTCATTTCTGAATAATAACTTTTTGACCAACTTAGATGAAATTATAGATAATTGAACTTATTAACTTGTTCAGTAGGTTACCATCTATGATAAAACATTGTAAGATTGTGTGGATTATTGCTGTGGACTCTCTGTTTCAAGTGTCTGTAGAGAAGGAAATGATACACATTTTGATATGAGGAATGTAATGGCCATACTTCTCTTCTGATTCGCTGGTTGAATGTAGTCTATAGAGCCCACACTGAATTTTCTGTGGCATCTGCTGGTGCATTGTTCTGCTGAATTTGTTTAATTCTAATTCACCGTGGCTGGACACAGGCACAAAGGAGATAAAAATCTTCTCGTGTTATTAGCCATATCATTTAAGAGACCATCTCATGATCATACAAGGGACTTAGTCGCACCCCACTAGCAATAAAAAAACTGAGGGGCTGGTAGAGTAAGAGTGTAGCACTAAGGAATTTAGTCTTGCCCCAATTCTACAACTAAAACAGAAACCATTCTGTATTTGTTATTTTTCAGATTTTCTTTTTTGGAAATGGATTTTTAGTAATGTATGGCACCTGATTTTATTTAACAACAGTTAGTCTGTTTAACTGCAATATACTATGTTGCAAAATACCTTTGAATTTCAGTTCAGGCACACACTTGCTTTAACCAACAAGAATCTGAAATTTAGTTGTATAGTCTGTGGTCTAGTGGTCAGAGTTCCTGCCTACAGTCCCAGAGGTCCGGGTTCGATTCCTGGCGCTACCAGATTTTCTGAGAACTAGTGGGTCTGTAACGGGGTCCACTCAGCCTCGTGAGGATAAATGAGGAGCTGTTTCAAGGAAATAGCGGCTGCAGTCTAGAAAATCGAAATTAACGGCCATGGGGATTCGTTGTGCTGGCCATGTGAGACACTGTCTGCTAAAGTTGGCACTGACTTCGCCAACAAACAGCGGTTGCTTGGTCGGTATAGTTTGCTTGCAGACTACAGGCCACAGATTTTTTTTTTTTTGTTTATAGCTGATTGTTGCTTTTAGTATTCTATCCTGTGTTCTTGCTATATGTTTTCTTCATTTTGTTCTAATCTCATCACATTTATCTTTTATGGAATATATTTGTAATTCATCTCTTATGCTCTCCCCAGGTACATCCTTTTCTCTATAGTTGGGAGCAGTTTGAGGTTTGACATTCAGAGACTTATTCCCTTAATCAGTGTTCTGTACAGACTCTAAAACACTTTCTTTTCTGGTATCAAGTGTATGATTTAACTCTACTTAGAAGGGAACATTTCATTATTATTCATTTCTGGAGATGCGTAGTTCCATGAATTTTAAGAACTGTTGTTGTGTTTGGATGGTAAATTATTACACATTTGTAATGATTGGGCCCATACTATTTAACAGTGACTTAAAAGGGAAATAGAACATCTTCAAGTGCCAAAGCACTGTGGAGCAATGTAGTTAACAATGTAATCTGCCTCTACTTGTACCTAGGCCTGCTATGATCCACTGCTGAGCAGCCTGTGTGAATGCAAAACTGCTGGTGTTTAACATTTGGAGACTTAATCGCTGTTGTCACGCATGTCTAGTCAAGTACATGTAAACTAGCTGATACTGAAATAATTTAAATTTTAAAGATGAAGTGTAGTTTACTTGAACCCCATTAAAGCACGAATTATTATTTATTTATTACTTATGAGTAGGAATGTTGTAATTACTTCTGGATAATTAGAATTACTTTTGGTTGCATTGCAATGTAATTATTTTTATTATTAACTCTGTTATTTCCAAAAGTCTCTTAACATCTAACACGGATTGGTTTCAAAATTTTTGTAGGGATTCGTAATAATTGTAAAGATTCTAGGATATGATTCCATATGGTCTGTGTGATACCAATATTTTGGAGGAACCTGCTTTGTTTATCTTGTACCTTGAATGAATGCATAAGGGGTGGGCCGTATTTATCAGGTCCTTGCACTGTGACTTTCAATGATCTATTGGGCTTCCCCCTTTTGATCAACCCTTTATCAATCCTACATTTCGAATGAAATGTAGGACTTTGTTTATGGGGGCATCATAGTAGTCACTTGGTTCCATAAAAAAAGTGACCCAGGTGACAATATTTTAAATAAGCTATGGCCTCACAATGACATAGGATGTGTGTGACTGATTCATCTCTTTCTAGGCACCATACATAAGTGGGGGTCATCTGTCAATCGCAGTTTGAAAAGGTGTCCATTTAGGTGACAGTGTCCTGTAAATAGTCCAACCACACATCCTAATTGGTCTCTGTTTAATTTTAACAGATCCCTTGTTCTTCTGGCAGAGAGCCCTAGTATAAGTTTCTGTGCATGTTTGAGTCCAGCAACTGATTCTCAATGTTGTTTGATTTCTGTTCGTCCAGTCCCTGACCACTTTCTCGCCAACTCAAGTTGAGATGCTGCAAGCTGGTTCAGGCCTTTGAACAGATGTTCAGATCCTGTTCTTGCCAGCTGATCTGCTGTTTCATTACTGACAATACCCTCATGACCTGGTACCAATATTAGCTGAACTTAGTTATGTTTGGCTACTTGTATGGGGGATTGGTGGCAGTCCCAGACCAGTTTTGAGGTGATCAGGTATTCACCAAGTGCTTTGACTGGAGCTTGACTGTCTGATAGAATATAGATGTTTCTATTTTTATAGTTCCTATCTAGAGTCTATCTTGTACCTTGAAGAGAGAGGCAGCAAATTCCTCCAAGACTACACTGTATCACATTCCAGTAGACTGTAGTCTTAATATTGACTGTTGTGAGAACCTCGGATCTTACAATATTTTTCACTTATCTAAGCTACTTTTGAATTCTATGGCTGCAGGATGGAGGTAGAATGCACCTTAGTCTACTTTGTTATCCCTTCCAGTTTTAATACAGGAAGTGGAGGAAATGTATATTGTATTTTATAACCCTGAATAATTGAGTTATATTCAGACATATTAGCTTGATATAGGTAAAATTCTTAGAAGGTCTTTGAAATAATAGTGAAAGGCGGAAGACCTGAAGGACAACCCAGACTGAGCTGTCCTAACTAAGTGACAGTACTTAAAAGGAGAGGAAGTGTGTGGCCTGAGATGGTGGGGGGGGGGGGTGTAGACTGCGAAGATACTTGGAGGCTCTTCCTTGCTATTGGAAATAGAGCCAGGGCAAATAGTAATCATGTAACAGTTACATATGAAATAGGAAATGATTGCATCCTGTGTTTTATAATACTTAGTAAACACAAACTGTATATATTGGATACAACTACAGTAAGTCCTTGGCATGCCGTGGCACAGTTGGTTGAGGTACTATGCTACAAGCCTGAAGGTCGCGGAATTGAATCCTGATGAGGTGGATTTTTTTTTAATTTGCCTAATCCTTCCAGCCACACTATGGCCCTGGGGTTGACTCAGCCTTTAACATGAATATTCCAGGGGGTACAGGGCGCCCGCACCGCCATATATGAGCTGATTATCTAGAACATGTGGGAGCCTCAGCATCTCACAACCCTATGGGTCTCCATGGCCTGTTACATGGATAGCTTTACTTTTTACTACAGCAAGTCCTTGCTTAGTGTTGCCTCAGTTAACGTGTTGTTATTAGGCTGGTACTATTTTCATAGTGAAGTTCAGCACAGCATTGTGTTAAATTGCTATTATGTTGTTCAGCAGAAGATGGCCCCAATAGAGCATGGAAATCTGAAATGAACTAGAATGTCATGGAGATTCTTTGGTGTTGCTGTGAACTTTACAAAGAGAATAAGAAAACCCAGTAGTTAACACTAAATTGGAGGGAGGGGGGAAGAGGAAAACAAACAACATATCAGCCAGCAGGAGAAGTATGAGATGCCTCCTAGGCACTGT